CGTGAGAATGGTCACGTGATCTCGATGACGCAACAATATCTTAATAGATATATTTTTTTAGATTTCGTTCTAATTCATTATTTCGTCGTTAGGATTGAACGAAAAGCAAATGGAGGTTTTTGCAATATGCTGGCGAGAGAAAAATTCCGAGGCGGTAAGTATTTTTTAACTTTATTTTAAAATGGTATTTGCTTAGCAAAATAGACGTTCTCCATAATAAACTAAAAATATCTAAACACACGATTTATTACCAAGTCGACAAGTATAAATTACTTTATTGAATAAATCATTTATATGTTTCTATGGCTTATATTTACCACGATTTCAAATTCCATTATTCTGTTAACCTATTAATCTTCGCTGGAAGAATTGTAGTAAAACATTCAAATACATCAACATTTGTGCATTTATTTTTATTTACACAGCTTTGTAAATAATTATAATCATCCCAGCCATTTTAATACAGGCACATGTTCATGAGTTTTAGTGCCACCTACTGGTTAGTCCACTATGTATTGAATTGAAGGGTCCAAGGCTCAAACCTTGATTCTGATGGACTTCTTCCACACTTTCAGCTGGGGGTACATTATAATAGTCATAGTCAGTCTCGTTATTAATTGGTTCAAAAAATGGACAAAGGAAGTATTACTGACTGATGTCTTTCCTCTATTCAATAGTTCAAAATTAGGGACAACTGTAAATGAACCTTAGGAATCTAACTGGTCATTTAGTCCATGCGTCCCATAAGGATGAAAATTAAAATTTCCGCTACATTACTTTTTTTATCAACGTCCTTCAAAATGAAAATTATCACGAGTATTTCCAGCTATTTATCTAATTAGTTCTGCATTACAATAAAATATTTAAATTGGAAATGAAGTAATTATTCCTTTAATGTAATTACGGAAAACTATTTAAGCTCTACTAAACCTTTAAAGTATAAAAAAACAGTAATTTACAATATTAACAAGTTATTTTATTATTTTTGTCTTCAAATACTTGATATTATTCTAAATACTAATTATAAAATAACCTATATTTTGCTCGTTTCATATCCAGTGAGACATAAATTTATTTCAAGTGTTTTTAAGGAAAAAATTTTGGAATTAAATTCATAAAATATGTTTCCTAAGTATTAGGGTTAGCATAGAATTGCTTTCAGACATTTATCAATAAATTAAAATACATAAGAAGTAAAAATAGATATAAGAAAATATTAAACATCCTGCTTTTTTGTTTCAGTTTATGAACAAGTATGATGAGTGTAAAAACCGATATTTTCCGGATTACACTGACGCTGCGGTCGCCACAATTGCATGCGAGGGTAATATTAAAGCAGTTCACGTAAGTACAAAAAATTATACCAGCTATAACAACATCATAGATAATTGAAAGCTTCTTCTGTAAGTTAAAACTTCAATTTCACACTTTTTATCTGCTTAATCTTAATTTAAGAACTTTAATTTTACATTTTTTACCTGTTTAATATAGAACTTCAATTTTACATTTTTACCTGCTTAATCTTAATATAAGCAATTTAATTTTACAATTTTTACCTCTTTAATATAAGCAATTTAATTTTACAATTTTTACCTGCTTAATCTTAATTTTGAGCTCTTTAATTTAATTTTTTTAACTGTTTAATCTTAATTTTGAGCTCTTTAATTTATTTTTTTAACAGTTTAATCTTAATTTTGAGCTCTTTAATTTATTTTTTAACTGTTTAATCTTAATTTTGAACAAATTCATTTTGAAAATGAGCTGTGTCCTGAAAAAACTTGCAGTGTTGTGTATTGAAAAGTATTGTTACGTCTCCGTTTGTTAATTGATTTTCCGTAACTTCGTTCCGACGAAACTTAAGCGACACAAGTTATTTACT